TTATGTGTTCTCTGGTCAGTCAAATCTCAGGTTGAATATTAATTACACTGGTGCTATTTTATTTTTCCATTGACAAGATGTACTATTCCCGCCTGATGGTTGTTATAAATGATATTGCAGAATCAGTTTTCTTCATAGATAATGTGTTTTTCATTGTTTGTTCAGTACTAAAAGATCCAAGTCCCACAATTGAATTTAATATTCATTTGACATGTTAACTATATAATAAAGCGCTTCATGGGAGTAATTGCGGGATGATAAAATGTTTCCCTTATGCAACATGAAAGTATCACGATATGTATCGGTTGAGTATCGGTATCGTTCAGTGGTATCGGTATCGGTATCGGTATCATAAAAAAGTCAACGATATGCATCCCTAGGTGATGCTGCTGTCATCGCTCGCCTCTCCTCCGGTGGTGCCCTCGGCTCCCTCCGCCGCCACACTGCCCAGCACACTGGAGATCACTAATGTCTCTCAGCCACCGTAGTGTCGTGTCAGGTGGGCGTGTCGTGTAGGGGGCGTGTCGTGTAGTGTTGTGTACTTGCCGCGGCCGCAGCTAGACCATATTGCTTCAGTGCGGCAGAGGTTATGGCTGCCTCTCCTGGTGCTTTTTTCATTGCCGTTGTATGATGAGAGCAGCGAGCCTAAATATCATATATACGTGAAATAAGTTATTTAGAGACTATGGATGGCGAGGATAAATGTAATAAAGGGATCTACAAACATTACATTGGTGACCTACAGTGAGATGGTAACAGGCATGCGCTTAGGGCCCGCTTTCCAGCCAGTTTCTGTGGGGTGACGCATTCTGAGGTGAGGCAGAGCTCATCTGTGACTCACCTTACCCCACAGTAAGCAAATGAGCCTGGCTTGAGCGCGCTCACAAAATAAGTGCCCGCGCTACATTAGTGCCCGCGCTCCATCAGTTACTGTGGGCTTACGTGAGGCAGAGCTCGTCCCTGCCTCACTCCTCATCGCTCCCATGTAGTTGTAGCGGAGCTCGGCCAATTTGCTGATTTTGACGATAAAAAGCGATTGGAATCATACAGAAATCACACTTACAACACAGATCAGTGGAGACATTTTATTATTATTACTATTTAGTTTTTCTTTAGTTGTTTTTCTGTTACATTGGAGTATGACAGGTGAGGCTCTGCCTCCCCTGACTGCACGTCGCTGGTGCTTAGATATGTCTCATAATTATTTGTGTGAACAGAAAAATAATTTGTGTGTAAATATGTGATTTGTAAATGTAAAACACCATTCACAAATGCATTTAAAAGATTTGCAAACTCACAAATACATTTGCAAATGTAAAACGGATCTGCAAATACGCAAAATATTTTTAAAATAAAAAAAAGATCTTTGAATATCTCTTTAACATTTACAACTTTCGATCAGTCATTTATGAATCCATTTTGTATTTGTCGACCAAAAATGCGCCTGTGGATCTCACATTTCTGCTCGTGGATCTCAAATCTCTGCTTGTGGATCGTCTTTTTACACACACGGAGTTTTGAGACAACCTTCCCGTCGGTCTCGGCTAAAATCTACTCGTGTCACTCGGTTATTTTCGGAAACCACGTGATGGCCTGCTGATGACGACATTTCCGCATGGTTTTCAAAGTAAGAGCATGATGGTTTGTTTAATGCACTGTTTTTAACAGCGGAACGTTAGATGCATTCTTTATCACCATCATCATCATGTTATAGTGATACAGTTAGTTTGTGTTAGTTTATTGCTTCAACTTTCTTCATCGTTTTTTGTGTATTCAGTCAAGCAGGTCAAAGATATCATGGCCTGGCTCTTGGCCATAACAAAAAGCGTGGGAAGGACACGAATATGTAGAAAAAGGTATTTATTTAACAAAACTCAATGTGGCCAAAGACAAACAAGGCAAAAAAGAATAGGCGACGTGGCTGCTCTCCAAGGTCCGGTCCTCTGCGGGGAGAGAGATTGCGGGTCTCACTCAGGCCCTTTAACCCTCTGGTACCGGCCGCCAGGTGTCCTCAATCCCAGCTGATAGACCAAAGGGAGAACCTTTGAAGGTAATCTGTAGAAAAGCACCGTATTTAGGTCAGCCATCATAGTAAGGCTACATTAAATGTTATAATATTCATCGTGTCCTTTCTACTGTATATGCATATATTCCTGTCTATTGCTTTCATTTGTATTTAATGTTATTATGTTTATACTTGTTTCCACACATTTCACAATTTGGGATGAATGAAGTATCTATCTATCTATCTATATATCCATCTATCTATATATCCATCTATATATCCATCTATCCATCTATATATCCATCTATCCGTCCATCTATCCATCAATCTATCTATCCGTCTACCTACCTACCTACCTACCTACCTACCTACCTACCTACCTACCTACCTACCTACCTACCTACCTACCTACCTACCTACCTACAGATAGATAGATAGATAGATAGATAGATAGATAGATAGATAGATAGATAGATAGATACATGGATACATGGATACATGGATACATGGATACGTGGGCGGCGCCAGAGATTTTCTGTTGGGGGTGCTGTGGGGTAGCTTGCCGCTTCTTAGAGGTTGCTCAAACATGTAGGGTTTCCCATTAATGTAGCTATGGGCTACAGTGAAATATTCTACTGCAACACTCCCCACACGCACATACAGTACACCCGCGACTGTTACAATGAAAGATAATCAGCTCACGGCATATAGGAAGGGTAAAGTGCTCTTTTTTATAAGTGGGGGGGACCAGCTTCCTAGGGGGGTCCGGGGGCATGCTCCCCCGGGAAGATTTAATTTTTTATTATTGAAGTTAAATGCATCAATCTGGTGCACTTTGAGAGCAAAATTAAGAGATCTATGGATCTCTCAACACCCATATGAAACAGAACTGTAAACAGATGTACTTTTTCTTTATGGATATTTTACTAATCACTCCCCTTTCAAACTGTATTCTTGTTTTACTGTCATATTGTATTTCATACCTGTTTTTCATTTATTCTCTTATTGTTTTATAGCCTAACTATAATGATCATATGAAGGTGTGCCTCGGAAATACTTGTTTACATAAATGGTGATCAAACTGTTTTGAGACCCACTGAGATAACTTAGACTAAAGGGAACTATCACTGAGAGAGTCCTTTACCTCACTGAGCTGACGTTATCTGACAGGAGAGGACTTTCCTTTCACTTAGTTGTAGAAACAGCTTCTAATATCCGTTAGCGCAACAACAACAATCTTTCTCTCTCTCTCTCTCTCTCTCTCTCTCTCTCTCTCTCTCTCTCTCTCTCTCTCTCTCTCTCTCTCTCTCTCTCTCTCTCTCTCTCTCTCTCTCTCTCTCTCTCGCCCGCTCACTCGTGCGCTCGTGCCACACACACGGAGCCGAGCTTGAATGAAACACCCAGAAGTAGGCTACTTGTTCTGTACTGTAGCATATCATTTTTGAATCAATAAATTTTCAAATTATGAATTTCACATATATAAAAAAAAAACATAAATTTCTTGGGGTTAAACAAACCATCATGCTCTTACTTTGAAATCATACGGAAATGTCGTCATCAGCAGGCCATCACGTGGTTTCCGAAAATAACCGAGTGACACGAGTAGATTTTAGTCGAGACCGACGGGAAGGTTGTCTCAAAACTCCGTGTGTAAAAAGACGATCCACAAGCAGAGATTTGAGATCCACGAGCAGAGATTTGAGATCCACAAGCGCATTTTTGGTCGACAAATACAAAATGGATTCATAAATGCCTGATCGAAAGTTGTAAATGTTAAAGAGATATTCAAAGATCTTTTTTTATTTGTAAAAATATTTTGCGTATTTACAGATCCGTTTTACATTTGCAAATGTATTTGTGAGTTTGCAAATCTTTTAAATGCATTTGTGGATGGTGTTTTACATTTACAAATCACATATTTACACACAAATTATTTTTCTGTTCACACAAATAATTATGAGACATATCTAAGCCCATACTAATGCTTTTAACCCTTACATTTTCTGTAATAACAACATTTAAATTTCAGTTTCAAAAAAATATCCAAACTTCTCCAGGGCCTCCAAATCTGAGGAAGCACATGTGGGATGTGTTACCCTGGTTAGCTTTGCATTTGGTATTACAAATAATGCAGCGTACATGAGTAAAGTTTGTTAAAACTGCCTCTGGGCTTGCTCTTAAACAAGCTGACAAAGCTCATCATTTTACATCCAGTGGCACTCTCAGGTAGGAAGAATCAACCCCAATTGTTTTTTTAAGAATTTGATTTTTGCAGTAAAATTACCAACACTACAGAGTGATTTAGGGACTTTCAGTTCTTTGCTTTGGTGTTGGGGCCTGGAGCTTACATTGTACAGTGGGTTTATCTGGGCTCAACTAGGCTGAATATAGCTACCTGGAGCTTAGAGTCATGGCTGACACCTCACACACTTATTGTATACAGCGTAAACAAATGAGGACAACTGAGGGTGAAGGATCCATGTTTGCATGTAACAGTAACCTTGTAACTACATCGGCTTTGCGAACCATTATATGTTAAAGGTAAACGATGAAGGGATTAGCGTGTATGAAATGAAAATGAAACTAGATGGAAGCAGGGAATAAACAGTGTGGCATTATGGGTAAGCAGGCTGTGATTAGAGAACAGATCAAACTTTTTGCAGTTTTATTTCCAGGATACAGCACCTCCATATACATGCTGCCTGCTTTGTAGAGAATTGCAGTTAATGCCACAGTCCACCACAAACAGAAGCTTACACATGCTGATTGAGTTTAATTCAAACGCACACAGTGAATCAAAAATAAGCATACACACAGCAAACAGCACATTACAGCACAACATGTCACAAGCTGCAATCCCCAATACTTGCCCTAAATAATGGTGTGTGCCACCGGCATGAATAATGGACGATAATGTTTTGCTCCTCTCTCTACGATGAATAATATATATATACAGTATATATCCATTTCTGCCTCTCCGTCTTTGTCTGTACAGTTCTTAGAGATGCCGAGGAGGCCGTGGAGGGACGAGCCACATGCTGATGAGTGAATGAAAAAAGGACGGAACGAAGGAAAAACAAACAAAGAAGGAGATAAATCCAGCGGAGGACAAAAGGAAACATAAGGGAGTTGAAGTTCTGAAGCTCCATGAAAGAGGAGAGACGAGTCCAATCAGGAAGTGTAACACACAAAGTCCTGAGAGACACGGAGAGGATTGGAAGTGAAGGAGAGGAAGACGAGCAGGACAGAAACGCTTGAAGGGAGTGGCAGGAAGAGACGGAGAGGGACGGGCTGAGGTAGGACAGAAACTTCTGGATGGTCTCCACAGCAACACCCAGCTGGTTACCCCCCCTCCGAAAATGGCCTCCAACTTCAACGACATCGTCAAGCAGGGCTACGTTCGCATGCGCAGCCGCAAGCTGGGGGTGAGTGTTTGTAGAACATTGTCCATTAATCAGCATATCATTGCATTTGATGACACATCATAATGATGCACTTTATGTTTAGCAGTATTTCAAAAAGTTTATCTTTACACATATTTTCTGGTTTCCGTAATCCTGCCACACAGGTTATTTTGTTTCTATTCGTCAGGTTTGGACAAATACAACGTCTCTCATAATGACAAGTAGGATAATGATAGTCTATAAGAAGGCTCATACACCAGATCATATTTACATTAATTATATTTTAGCATTTTAACAATATTTACAGAACATTCAGAAAAATTCACAAAAGATAGTAATTCTAAATAAATAAAACATCTAACATGTTAAGCATTATTACATTTGTTGTGTTATATACCACAGATATGAACATGATTTCTAATGCAAATGTATCCAGGTCTGAAAATATGTATCATACATGTTGGTCATTTAGCAAGGTGTAAAACTGTGTGGATAATTTAGCTAAAGATTAGCATGAAGGACTAAGCTAGACAGTTTCTTTCCAAAAACTTAGCTTAGGGTGAGCCTGTGGTTCAACTTAACCCCCCAGAGGCACTGAAGTGAAGTCTCTGTAGTAGAAAATGCTCAATTTACCCCTCGACTCGGATCAACTTCCCCCTGAGATGGGGCAAGTTCAGCCACAAGACCCCTTGTTTTTTAGAAGTCATATTTTCATGGCCCTTTGTGATAGATGCATTATTTTAATTGTGATTGACTGAACACATCCTGAAGTAAAGGTTGTTATTGTCATTACCCAGAAAAATTGTCCTTGCCCAGAGGACAATATAAGTAAAAATAGGCTGATCTTACCCCACTCTCCCCTATATTAAGCGTGATCTCCTGAACAGAGTGAACCTACATTTCTGCCTGTGGCTTGAGCTGCATGGGGAATGCTAATTTTAGTGAGTATGAGTCATATTCAGATAGACAGGCAGTGGAATTCAACTTCGCATTACTCATAGTATGGAAACCTAATGAATTGGAGCTCGGTTCTGTTCAGCAGCTCACTTCAAATACTGCTGTGCTGTTTTGAAGTCAATCCGGTGTTTGATGGGGAGCCAGTGGAGGTCCTGGAGGATAGGGCTCGGAGCGTCGGGTGGAGGTGAGCATACGGGCATCGGAGTTTTAGACTTATTGCAGTTTATTGAGGATGTATGCAGGTGAACCATAGAGGATGCTGTTGCAGTAATCCAGTCGGGATGTAATGAAGGCATGGATCAGAGTTTCAGCAGCGGTGGATGAGAGGGGGGGTCTGATGAGAGGGAGGGTCTGATGAGAGGGAGGGTCTGATGCGGGCGATGTTCTTTAAGTGGAAGAAGGCGGTTTTAGTGACCTGGTTGACGTGAGGGAGGAAAATGAGAGCGGGGTCAAGCAGGGATGCAAACTTGTAACCTTTCGGCGAAATTCGCCGTTTTGAATCCAAAATAGGTCGTTTGTGTGATTCATGTAGATCTGCAATAAACATATTTTTGGGGTATGGGGGGGGGTCTGGGACCCGGAGTAATCTGCGGCCGCGAGCTGTTATGTGCCATCATGACACGCATGGTGTTCTTTTTTTATATATTATAATGAAGCGCGAGCTGTGTGCTAGAGTCTTCCTGCCTGTCGGCTCTGCTCATGGATATATAATAAGGCTCTGCTGCTCCGGGATGAGGGTCTAGCTTCAGCAGCTACATTACCTACGGTGCGTTCGTTAATATTAACTGTGCGGTCCGGAGTCACTGTGGCACAGACTGGACCGCTGGTGAACAGGTGTTCAGAGCAGAGCTCCCTGTTGGAGCGGCAGAGCGTGATGTGCACTGAAAAGTTTTTCTGTCGCAATATTATTTAAGGAATTGTTGAGCTAGCTAACTAGCATACATTGTCACTATCTGCTAACGTTAGCTTTAGCCTTCGTTTTCTAATAGTTTTTTTCATAGGCTATAAACGGAGGTGGTATAAGTATATATCTTGTACTTGAGTAAAAGTAGAAGTACTCAGGTCTTGTACTTGAGTAAAAGTAGAAGTACTTAGGTCTTGTACTTGAGTAAAAGTAGAAGTACCAGAGTGTAGGAATACTCTGTTACAGTAAAAGTCCTGCATTCAAAATGTTCCTCAAGTAAAAGTAGAAAAGTATTCTCATCAAAATATAGTTAAAGTAGCGACAGTAAAAGTAGTCATTGTGCAGATTGGTCCATTTCAGAATAATATATATGATATGTTTTATAATGATTGATCATGAAAGTGTTCTCAAAGCTGGTAAAGGTGCAGCTAGTTTGAATGGCTTTGTATACTGCAGGGTAGCTTGTGAATTTACTCCAGGTGGAACTAAAGTCTGATTTAACACTTGATTATATTTCACTTCATTAATCCACATCTGTGAAGTAACTAAAGGTATTAAATACATGTAGTGGAGTAAAAGTACACCATTTACCTCTGAACTGTAGAGGAGAAGAAGAACAAAGTAGCAAAACATTGAAATACTTAAATAAAGTACAAGTATCTCAAGATTGTACCCAAGTATAGTACTTGAGTTTATGAACTTAGTTACTTTACACCACTGGCTATAAAGATAGAAAGACTAAGCCTTGCACAGAGGCATGAAAATACATTTTCAAAATGCTCAACAGTCCTGCCAAAATTATAAACTGACTGCTACACAATTAAAATAAATGCTTTGATACATTTCTATTAGATGTGACTCTTTGGCATTTCTGTTATTATTAACTGCTTCAGTTGTTCTGACTGCTAAAATCCTCTGTTATTCCTCATTTTAAAGCCGATATTCCGTGGGGTCGGGGGGCTCGGATCCTTGTCACCTTTTTCATACCTGATGAGTTTGCATCCCTGAGGATGATACCAAGGTTGCGGACGTGAGTTGAGGGGTTGACGATGGAGCCGTCGATGTTTAGAGAGAAGCCCTGGGTGGAGCGGGTTAGTGATTTTGAGCCAATAATGATTATTTCAGATTTGTCACAGTTTAGTTTCAAAAAGTTGTTTTGCATCCATGTTTTGATGTCAGTGAGGCAGTTGGTGAGTGGGTGGTTGCAGAAATAGTTTTTGTAGAGAGGTAGAGTTGGGTGTCGTCGGCGTAACAGTGGAACCGGAGTTGCTTGGATCTGTCCAAGTGGGAGGATGTAAGTGATGAAAAGCGTGCGTGCGTGCGTGCGTGCGTGCGTGCGTGCGTGCGTGCGTGCGTGCGTGCGTGCGTAACCTTTACCCAGCAGCTATTGGAGGCATGTCACTGTAGTTCTGTACCGACATTATTTAAAAACCTAATGACTTTGGAAAGTCAGTGTGATCAGCCGACTTTTTCTTCCATTGCAACAATGAGGCTCACGTTCATGTTTTACAAAAATGGCTTGTAAAATGTCACGACCCCTAACTACTACTGACTGATTCACTTTACAGTTTTTAGGAAATAAAACAGTTTGTTCATACAGTTAGCACTGTGTGTCTGTTAGAGAGTCTCTCTGCTTTTTTACATTTCATCTGGCTAGCACTGATTACTTTTAGATGACCTTCAAGAGGAATGAAATCAATCCGATAAAAAAAATGAAAAATATGACTGTGGAGTGGTAATGATTGGCTGAGTCAGTGTTGTTTTTAATGTTGAATTAAGTTATACGTTTTTACAGTTGTTCTCTTTCTCTGTCTTGACTGCCCTTGTTGTTTCATCAGTGGGGGCAGAGGGCGTCTCCACTGGTTGTAGAAAGTAGTCTGATCGCATAGAAGCCTATGAGGAAATGACCCTGCTTCTCACTTGATTCATACCCCAGGAAATATTTTACAGTTTTCAAAAAGCTTCAGTTTATGCCCTCAATTGCTAATTTCATATCTCACAGAAAATATTATAAATTCTTTATTATATACAGTCCATTTGAGCCGGATGTCAAATCAACTTGGCTTTTACATTTCCTCTCTTTAGGAGTCTTTTTGTGTTTACTTTGAACACTAACTGATCTTGTTGTCTGTGTTATTATACCCTCTTTTAATTGCTCTGGGTCTGCTTTCCCTCTCTACTGTGCCCATAGCACTGATTCCTCACATCTCATTCTTCCTTTACTGCCTCATTATCTGTATCAGTATCTGTATATCTACATTGTTAGCAGGACAGTTGGGCATCAGCTAAAAGCATCTGGTGTTCTTTGAATATGTAAAGCTTTTAACTGGTTTTACAGCAAAACATTTATTTAGTTATTATATATTATTTGTTACCTGCTAGTGTAAACATTTGTAACATGACAAAGGCATCTTAATTCCATTACTTGAAGGCTAGTAATGGGGCAAAAGATCTGTAACTTATCCGCTCTGAAGCGAGGAATAGTAGGTTTTCCCATTTTTCCCATTCTGCCATCATCATCAATGCAGATTACAGTATGTGTCATTTCAAATTTACTTTTATAAGCAATGTCGAAGCTGCATTATTTAATTTTGTTTAACAATCTGCAAACATAACACATATGCATTAGTGCCTAATAAAGTTATTTCAACGTTTAAGCAACCCATTGACTATTTACACTTCCAGCTGACACACAGGCACACACATTCATTCAGAAAATAGAAGTCACACCTTCTCTTCAACATCCAGCAGGTCCCATCTAAACTGGCTTCATACATACGTCTGATTGTGTAAAACAGGCATGGGCATATACGGCCCGTTGGGCTTTTTAATCCGGCCCGCCGAATATTGGTACAAAATTGTCCAAATTATAGCAAAGACTGCATTCATTTAGCCTTTTTCCTGCAATACCCGGCATTTCAGTTGATCCCACTAGATGGCGCACTCTAGACACAATTGACCTTTGCTGGAGTCGGCAACCCGGCCGAACCAAATACGTCACGTTTACATTGGAGGGGGTCAAGATTAACCTGAGCAATAATAAGTTAGTAGGCTACAGTACAGCGAATACAAGTAACAAGCAGTAGCGCTGAGAAAAGTGACTAGAACGCGACCACACACTTATAAAAAACACTTATATAAAGTCAGGCAACAATAACCA